ACACACAAACACACACACACAGACACAGTATGATCCTGCGTATTGTGTCTCTCATGTAACTACAAGTCACGCACTCATTTGTAGATTGCCAATGTTGGTGGTGAGTCTACTCGAGTTGAAAAGGATTGGTGTAGCCTCGTAGCTGACATCGAAGTCACACCTCAAGATAAATACATAACTTGGCTTAGACTATCGTGATAACCAGGCAATGCGGCTCCCTTAATGACTGTCTAGAAAGAATGGAATCTTGCCGAAAAGCATAGTTTATCGGAGAGAACAGACTACAGAGTTACAGAGTAATGACGCTGCCACATGAACTAGTCTGTGATATCCGACTGATTCATCCGCATCAGTCATACTCGACCTTGATGATGTTGAGCGAATTGTTCAACGTTCAGTGATCTGCCGTTGAACGTAAAACACGGTTCGACTCGATGGAGGATTTGTCTAGAACTCAACGGCACTCCACTGGCCCTACACATTGAAGCATATAATGGATTTGTGTCTCTCCACATTTCCATCCACAAAGCCAATGGACTGAACACTCTTCAGTAACTGTTCCCCAAGTGTTTCCGTGTTAACCGTAACATTCTGTCAATTGTCGGTTAAAGAAATTCTTTCAGATTCCATATGCAACCATTAATTTGATCTGTTTTACTTCTGTGTTGAGAATACCACAAAGAATTCCCACTGGCCACCAATCACTGGGATAAAGAAATCATCAGATTACTAACTGACTAACTATCTAACTAACCATACAGCGATTGAAATAAATAGAGAGTCTTCACTCGACCTTTATGTCACTGATGAATGTGCACAGAAAGAGTACAGAATGAAGGAAGTGGCAGTGCTTAACCGGCTTGTTATGTCGATTCAAACGGTCGACTGTCAACACTGAAAATGGAATATGTGTGTGTGTGTGTGTGTGCGTGTTCATCTGCAACACACATAGGAATGTCGGAACAAGTTTGGAGAATTTGGAGATCATATGGGAAACCAATGGAGGAGCAGTGTGTGAATGGTATAGAAAGGCGATATTTCATCGTCTTCTCCACATTGTCCACCTCATCACTGTCTTACTTCCACCCCTTCTCCCATAATGTTCGCACTCATGATTGGCGTGTTCTGGGACGAGTCACCTGTTCATGTCGAAGGTAGTAGAGGAATGAAGGAGAGAGTGTAATGGACACGAACTGTTAGCGTGAATCATCTACGCTTCGTATATGGATGTGTGAGGGTGTTGACGTGTGTATCAGAGAGCGATGATGTCGATGAAAACGACGGGATAGGGAAGGTGGTCCTTTCGGCATACCGATTAGGTAGACCACCTAACGAATTAGGTTTAATTGTTCTTCACGAAGTAACCACCTCCATTGCCCGACGAACAACTACTGTGAATACTCAGTCATCAACTTCGCATCATACAAGTGTGAACCAATCAACGCACAATATGCACATCATTGGTCATTCAATATTGCAATGATCATGTGTGCGACAATCCATACGTTGTTCGGTCAGTCAGT